GGACATTTGGGGACATTGGGGACAGCGGGGAGATTGGGGAGATTGGGGACAGCGGGACATTGGGGACGTTGGGGACAGCGGGGACAGCGGGACATTGGGGGGACATTTGGGGACATTGGGGACAGCGGGACATTGGGGGGACATTGAGGACATTTGGGGACATTGGGGACATTGGGGACATCGGGGACAGGCCCCATTAACCCCGTCCCTGCCGTGCTCCCCCTGAACCCCAGCCCTGCCCCGCAGATCTCCCCCTGCCCACACCGGTGACCCCGTGGGACCCCAAGTGACACCCATGGGACCCCAAGTGACACCCATGGGACCCCCAGGAGCCCTTGGGACCCCTCAGGAGCGCCATGGGACCCCTGGTGCCCCCCATGGGTCCCTGTCCATGGGCCCCGGGGTGCCCAGGTGTCCCCGGGGTGCCCAGGGTGCCCTGGCGCCCCTGGGTGCCCACCTTTGCTGGCGCCGTCGGGGCCGCGCAGCACGGTGCACTCGTCGATGGCGCCGAAGGGCTCGAACATCCTGCGCACGTCCTCATCCGCCTGCTGCTTGCTCAGCATGCCCACGAACAGCTTGCGCTCCTCTGCGGGCACCGGGCACCGCCGTGGGCACCGGGCACAGCACCGGCACCGGCACCGGGCACCGGGCACGGCGTGGGGACAGGGGCATGGGGACAGGGACACAGGGCACAGTGTGGCACTGGCGTGGGCACCAGGCACAGCACCGGGCACTGGGCACCAGCACTGGGCACCGGGCACCGCCGTGGGCACCGGCACCGGGCACCGGCACCGAGCACGGGGACAGGGGGACAGGGACACGGGCACAGCGTGGCACCGGCGGGTACTGGGCACCGGGCACGGGGACATGGGCACCGGGACATCATCTTTGAGGGTGATTTGGGGGGATTTGGGGGATTTTGGGGTGATTTGGGAGTTTTTGAGGTGATTTTGGGGGTTTTTGGGTTGATTTGGGGCTTTTTGGGGGTGATTTTGGGGTGATTTGGGGGTTTTTGGGGAGGATTTTTGGGGGGTTTTTGGGGTGATTTGGGGGGTGGTTTTGGGTTGATTTGGGGCTTTTTGGGGGTGATTTTGGGGTGATTTGGGGGTTTTTGGGGTGATTTTGGAATTTTTGGGGTGATTTTGGGGTTTTTGGGGTGATTTGTGGGTTTTGGGGGTGATTTTGGGGTGATTTTGGAATTTTTGGGGTGATTTTGGGGGTTTTTGGGGCGGTACCTCCTCGGCTCTCACTGTCCGCCGGCTTCACCTGGATGGGCCGGTTCATCTGGGGGGGAGGGGAGGACACAGAGAGGGGGGAGGGGTTGGGGACCCCCGAGACCCCCCCGAGCCCCCCAAAATCCCCCCAAAATCCCCCCAAAAATCCCCCAAAAAATCCCCCAAAAAATCCCCCTAAATTCCCCCCAAAATTCCCCAATTCCCCCCAAAAATCCCCCCAAAATTCCCCAAAGTTCCCTCAAAATTCCCCCCAAAATTCCCACAAAATTTGGGGGGATTTTTGGGGGATTTTGGGGAGGATTTTTGGGGGATTTTGGGGAGGATTTTTGGGTGGATTTTTGGGGATTTTTGGGGGAAATTTTGAGGGGAATTTTGGGGGGATTTTGGGGGGATTTTTGTGGGATTTTTGGGGGATTGTTGGGGGAATTTTGGGGAGGATTTTTGGGGGAATTTTGTGGGAATTTTGGTGGATTGTTGGGGGAATTTTGGGGAGGATTTTTGGGGGATTTTTGGGGGAATTTTGTGGGAATTTTGGTGGAATTTTGGGGGGATTTTTTGAGGGATTTTTAGGAGAATTTTGGGGAAATTTTGCGGGGATTTTGGGGGGAATTTTCGGGAAATTTTGGGGGGATTTTGGGGGGAATTTTGCGGGGATTTTGGGAGGATTTTTGGGGGAATTTAGGGGGCTTTTTGGGAGGATTTTGGGGGAATTTTTGGGAGATTTTGGGGGGAATTTTGGGGGGATTTTTTGAGGGATTTTTAGGGGAATTTTGCGGGGATTTTTGGAGTATTTTTGGGGAACTTTTGCAGAACTTTGGGGGAATTTTGGGGGGGATTTTTGGGGGAATTTTTAGGGGAATTTTGTGGGAATTTCGGTGGAATTTTGGGGAATTTTTGCGGAATTTTGGGTGAATTTTGGTGGAATTTTGGCGCCTCCATCCCCCCCCGACCCCTCCCTTTCCTTTCTCTGCTCAAATCGAAGCCGCCCCCCCGCCCCCCCCCAAAAAAAGCCGCAGATGGCGCTGGAAAACCCCCCCGAATTGGGGGGGGGCGTTAATCCCCCCTAATCCCCCTCCCCTCCCCCACCCCCGACCAACCCGCCGATTTTGGGGGGGAGGGGACGAAGAAACCCCCCCAAAAAAACCCCAAAATTCCGAATTTCACCGGACCCCGCCGCTCGGGGCCGCCGCCCCCTCCCCAAATTCCCGGCGCTGCAGGGGGGGCTGCGGGGGCGGGGCCTCCCCTAATCCCCCCCCCCCAAAAAATCCCCCCAAAATCCGGATTTACGGCCCCAAAATCCGGGATTATCCCGCCAAGGCAAATCCCCCCCCGGGGGCGCGGCGGGACACGCGTGGGGTGGGGGAGGGGCAGGGACGGGACCCCTCCCCCACCCCGGCACCCCAAAATCCCCCCCAGGAAACCGCAAAGACCCCCAAAAATCAGAAATGGGAGTGGGACCCCCCCCAAAAATCAGAAATGGGAGTGGGACCCCCCAAAAATCAATAATTGGGAGGTGGGACCCCCCCCAAAAATCAATAATTGGGAGGTGGGACCCCCCAAAAAAATGAATTGGGGGTGGGGGGCATTGATTTTGGGGGATTTCAGGGTGATTTTTTTGGGGTGAATTTTGGGGGGTTTATAGGTGATTTTTGGGGGACTCAGGGTGATTTTTGGGGTTCATTTTGGGGGTTTCAGGGGGATTTTTGGGGCTGATTTTGGGGCATTTCAGGTTGATTTTGGGGAGTTTTTAGGTGATTTTGGGGGGGTCTCAGAGTGATTTTTGGGGGTGATTTTTGGGGGGTCTCTGGGTGATTTTTAGGAGTGATTTTTGGGGCTTTTTAGGTGATTTTTGGGGGATTTCAGGGTGATTTTAGGGGTGATTTTTGGGGGGGGTCTCCGGGTGATTTTTGGGGCGTTTCGCCGGAATTTTGGGCCTCCGGGTGTGATTTTTTGGGGTGCCGCGGGCGGAGGGGGGTTTGGGGGTGTCAGGGGGGTTCGGGGGTGATTTTGGGGGTTCAGGGTGATTTTGGGAAGTTCCGAGTGATTTTGGGGGTTCGGGGGTGATTTTTCGGGGTCCGGCTGTGATTTTTCGGGGTGCTGCGGGCGTGGGGGGTTCGGGGGTGTCAGGGGGGTTCGGGGATGATTTTGGGGTGCCCGGGGTGATTTCGGGGTGCTCAGGGTGATTTGGGGGTGCCCGGGGCGATTTGGGGGTTCGGGGGTGATTTTGGGGGTCCGGGGGTGCCCCGGGGTGCCCGGGGTGATTTCGGGGTGCCCGGGCTGATTTTGGGGTGCCCGGGGTGATTCGGGGTGCCCGGGGTGACTTTGGGGGTTCGGGGGTGATTTGGGGGTGCCCGGGGTGATTTTGGGGTGCCCGGGGTGGTTTGGGGGTGCCCGGGGCACCCCCGGCAGCGTTTTCTGCTTTTTGGGGGGCCCGGGGCGATTTCGGGGTGCCCGGGGGTGATTT